TGATCTTTTAAGCCAAAAATTTAAATTCAGAAATCGGGCCTATATGCGCAAATATGTTTGTACAAGAATACATAAAGCACTTGAACCTTATGATTCTTTTTTGAGGGTTCTTTTTTGCAACAAAATGTTGCAATATACAAAGTATACAAAATTAATTCTAATGTAATATTATTAAACTTTAAGTTTTCAGTTTCACCTTTACATCATTACGTTAGCCAAAATAAATGACGGCCACTATCTACTTAATTTTCTATTTGTCCAGCATAATTTACAGGTTCCATAAAAATATAAAAGTTTTTTTAAAGCGCCCTACAGTTTCCACTAGCCTGAAAGTTAATAGCAATATATTTTACACGAGCTTGGCTCTCGTTCATAAAAGTTTTTATTATATTTAGCAGTTCTATCCTTTCATCGTTTTCGGATGTTTCAATGTCTCCTACACAAGTTTGCTATAAAATAAACTAATATTGTGACCGTCATACCTATCGTCCGATCCGTTCTCCACATCACACACAAAAAAATCAACAAACTCAATAAGAAACATGACGATATCCTGAGAAAAATGTTTATTAATAGCTTATTCTTAAATTAATCTTTAAATCTATCTTACACAAGGCGATCACTCAACGTCTCAAAGAACACATAGAAATACTTTCAATTTATAAATACAAATTAGAATTTCACATAACTAAACCGAAATGATGGATTTTCCGTAGGTAAAAACTTTTCACTCCTATGAGGAACAAAAACTAAGTATTCCCAAAGGATCTATCAATCTCTACCTTTCTCTATACCAAAATTCTATAACATGGTTCAAGGATTTTGGCATAAGAATTGTACAAACAGATATGAAGACACTATTAGTGATGTCCCGCGTTCCCGACTCCCATGACTACCGAGGGCAACGTAAGGTTTTTAGTGGGTAGGCTGCCCCCGCGGCTAGTGGTATACAAATCAATGCATTTTCCTTACGAGAAAAAAAAGTCTCAATATTAAAAATACAAGCATAATTATTACATCAGCTTTAAAATGTTAAGTCGCAACGCTGCAAAATGATTCGCGAAAGTCGCCTAATTGTTTCCTGCTATTGTTTCTGCCAAAAATGGTGGACTCAAATGATTTCGAAGGGATTAGGTCGTTATCGGTTCAGCTTTCATTTCATTAACATTTCGGGTCCTTTGACAGGCGCTGGTAATCTTTAAATTAACTTTTGGGATGCTTAAGGTTCAGAAGAGTAAAGTCATATGACGCCAACTCAAGCCAATTTTGTTGAAATTTGAATAATGATTAAACATAAACAAATTTCTATAAACAACCGATGTTACAGCGATATATTATAGGGGCGCAGTACCCTCGGATCGATTAGATGTTTCTCAGTACCTATGTTAAGACGCTTTTTATTATTCATATGAAGCTTTTAGCTTTCGCATTCCATTTCAATAAATAATAATAATAATAGCTTTTACTCATACTGCAAATAAAGATTTTAAATAAATAAATGAATATATACTCAATATAGGTCTGTGTCATGAATCGTATCTCAGAATTATCTCAAAAAAGATTCAAGCACGTTATTACTTACTTAAGTTTCGATATTTAAAACCAACCATAAGCTCGTCTCTACATAATACTATTGAGTGATTCAGCGTAGTTTTATCTATATAGACCTCCATTTTAGGTAGCAAGCTCGTATACCCGAATGTTGTTACTCACTTAGCCAAGATAGAAAGCAAAGTAAGTAAGTATCGATCTGGGGCTTTTCATTTCATATTCCTAGGCACTTTACATCTCATAACGTTCACGTACCTGAAACGCATCTATGCCACGTTTATTAAGTCATAACAAAAACCTTTTAGAGGCCATTATATCTCCACAAAGTATACGCTTCAGGGAGAATAATATCATCATAGTAAAACTGGAAAATGTTTGGTACTTCTTAACTTTAACTGGGTGCTATACTTATAAAACCTGTGTTTAATTTAACAAGAATTGAACGCGCTACAGATTTGAATATTGTATAAGAAATTTCTTTCCACTAAGCCAGAATTGGGTTATATCTTATTACGAAATAATTCTGCTATCATTGAATAATAAGAACTATGATATCTGACTGGCTCTGTGCAAAGTTGTAAGGTTGAAACCTGCACAAAATACGAGCACATAATATAAGTTATTTGGATGACATTTTGCGACTCAATTTTGGGCAAATTACGACTTAGTAACTTCGTTCCACGGTGATATTACCGTCACTAACTAGTTCCTGCCAAATGCATAGCTCTTAAAAATAGACGGTTTTGGGAACTGTATCAGATATTCGTTAGTTTGCAAATGAGAAGCGCAAGTTGACAACAGGCAGATTTTTAATTTCCCACGAGGCGGGCGCTGGTGCATTAACTTTTTACCTAAAGTACAGTCGACGGCACATCAGACTATACATTTTTGCTGCAAAATAGAACCTATTACAACTATTTAAGATGCCACATTGTAAAGCTTGATCTGCTGCCTGTAACATTTTACGGGGAAAAATTGTCAGGTGATTTTATTTTTAGCTGGATTCCTGCAGTTCCGAACTATTTTTCGTTATGTTCGTTAACTAAAACTTCATTGTTATGCTGCCAAAATATTAGGTCATTTATTTTAGACTTACAAACTGCGTGGCGTTTTCCCACCATTAAATATGAAAAATGTGCGGGTGAGGGCGAGTGCGTAGGCAATGGGATTTTACTATTAATCGTGGGTATACCGTGGTTTCAAATTTGAATTGCAATATTAAAATTTATATCCTTGTGTGACTTCAATATTCACAGTAAAAAAGGCTTTTTATTATTCTCTTGGAGGTCTTTGCTAAGTAATTATCCAACAACAGACATGTTATTGCTCAACAACAAAATCTCAAATGTAAATTTAAGCTAGTTTCCATACATCCTAATTTGAATCCAGCCGAATACTAAAACTGATTCAATCTTGTATCGGATGGTTCTACAGTCGTCCGTGCTATTCCGTATCCCCCAAAAGCAATTTCGGGTCTCGATTGCCATTGTCAAACGCACCCGCGGAATTCAAGAAAACGTTAAAGTGGATTATTTCAAATAGATAAATGGCCTTTTTTATATTCCGCGCTGATTTCGGGGTCTTTCGAATCTGCATGAGAGCGTCTTGCCATGTCTGCGGTCCCATTTTGGGCCGAAACAAAGGCTGACTAATGACAGCTGCTTCAAAGCGAGTTTGGACGAGTGTCTTTATGATTTTCGTTGGCTGGCGGAAATGTAAAGAGTAGCGGCCATTTTTGATACAGTTTCAAATCTTGATTACATAAAATGATTTATTAGATCACTGGGCTTTGTGGCCCACAAATATTAATTGTATTGCATCGGATTGACCACTCGATTTTTCATCACATTTAGCTTTATTAAACATGTTCCAATAACCATTGAAAATGAAGCTATCAGAATTTGTTTCCCAAATGAAAACTGCACGCGTTTTTCTGCGGAAAGTAATTTCTAGTTAGCAATTTCAAAATTGGTATTCAGTGGTAAAAATAGAGCAGCGAAAACACTAGTTGATTTTGATTCAAGCTCCAATTTGTTATTCTGACCGCAGCGCAAGTGTGCATATTTTAATCCCAAATATTTAATTCATAAAAACCACAGAAGTATTTCGGTTAACCCTCAATCGACGGATTTAATTCGATCCATTATAATGATATTTGGCTCATGTCGGGCAGAAAATTAAACAGAGCCAATTCGGTAATGCAGTTCCTCCGAATATCCGATTCTAGAAATGCAAGCAAATCTCCAATGCATCGAAAATAGCATTCGTGATAAATTACCTTTAGGAAAGCTTTTCGACAGCACCCGAAACGCACGTCCAGATTTACATTTCGAAAATGCTGGATTTTTCGACTATATTGGATAGAGTCAACATACGAGTACTAGGCATCTATGGAGGTCAAATATTTTCATCATCTTTAATGCTAGATCTTTTAGTGATAAATAGAGTGAGATTTTAGTTTGGTCAAGTTATTTGGTATCCACTGCATGAGGATTTGCCTTCGCTCCTAATGCTGGCCAGACGAGTTAGCAAAACCTGATGTTCAAATATTTGTCTCTTAGTGTCCTCTTAGAACATCTACGAGGAGAAAGGCAGTTTTCCTGTTCTATTCTGCCAAAAGGTCAAAAGGTCAATGCTAGTGTGATGATCACTTGAAAACAATGTAGTACTTCTACATCATAGGTCTCAGAAAATGTAGTTACCTACCTATAGCTATAATAATATGTTACGACCAACAGCGGTGATGCGCAAATTTGCATCGAAGTCAGGGTCACATTGAGATTTGTCCTTTTGAACTTCTTGCTTAATACTCAATAGGAATGAAGAAAATTGATGCTTTTAAGCAGTATGTAAATACAAATTACTAGTGCTCCCAAGAGCCCAAAAATCGTTTTATTCCCAAATAAGCAATTCGCTTCGAGTCGGTCGACATCACTGCAGCCTCTCGTGATAAATTATGTGCAGGTGCCGCCGCGACAACCCGGCTGGGCCCGAATCATTCAAGTGTACATACAACGATTTACGAATATGTAGGTACACATTGATGTGGTAGAATATGTAAGGTTTCATACCTTACATCATATTATGTTTAATAATGAATGTAGCCTATTACCTATAGCACGCTATGTTTAAACCAATTGAAAACATGACAGAAAGAAAGAACACGTGTATCAATATTGGTTTCTTTTAATTGGTTAATTACCATATACATCAAAGGACGGCCCGTAGCTTTTTTCTAATTGTGTTATAATCGTATTTCGTATTTAGATTTCAGGTTGCAGAGACGGTGAGTAAATTCGATGAATCGTTCGAAGATTGTAATGGGTATTCAAATAGTTTCAGTGCAAAGAAGTCGCTTCATACAGAATTCTATCCAAGGTTGATGCGTTGCGATATAATTGAATCATTCCACATCATGTCGGTATGATTATACTTATAGATAGGTCGGTTTAACAGATCGTGAAAAACGTCTGTTTAAAGAAATTAAACAACCGTTAGTAATTGGTAAAGAATTTTAAAATTGATCCGCTGAACAAGCATGTCAGGATAAATGCTGAGCTGGGAGCCTATTGACATAGTGGCCCACTATTTTGTGTATTCGTTTTGTGTTCTTAGGCCTCAGCCTCGAGTTTAGCGGGCAGCGGGGCGGGAGCGACGGCGGCGCGGGAGCGGCAGGATCTTATGCGTAAAATCAAATAGACCGGTTCTCGAAAACAGCGGCGCGGGAGCGGGCAACGAGCGGGCAGCGGCGCGGGAGCGGGCAACGAGCGGGCAGCGCACTCCTTCTTTTGCCCACAATAAATCGAAATAAAATTGTCGCCGTTGTTCAGACATTTCGTTTGCGAATAAAAACAAATATCTCGACAACATAACCCCGAACACAACACTTCGCCGCTAAAGCGCCGCGCGAGCTGCCCGCTTGTTTCGAGAACGGGTCTGCGTTGCCCGCCCCGCTCCCGCGCCGCCGCCGCTCCCGCCCCGCTGCCCGCTAAACTCGAGGCTGAGGCCTTATTGTTTATAATTTGTGCTTACTGTGTTCAATAAAGTCTATTTCTTTCTTTCTTTCTTTTATGCAGACTGATAAGGTGTTGTTGATCTCCTGAAAAAGAAACCAACCTGTGAATGCGCAGCGCAGTAGTCAGGCGCAGGCTGTCGGAAGGGGCTGTGCACGGGGCACGAGGCGGCGTGCTGCGTGTGCGGCACGCGGTGGTGCGTGTGCGCGTGCGCGTGCGGCGCGTGGCGGTGCGCGACGCGCGGCTGAGGCGCGTGGCGCGCGCACAGGTGGCCCGTGCTGCCATGGTGCTCCGCCAGCGACAGCGACGAGCACGACGGCCGCCAGTACCCCCCCTCCTCCATTTCAGGCGCCGGAGCGCATCGCGCCGCGCCGCAGCAAGCGCAGCGCCGCGCGCACGTCAGCGCATGACGCCGCGCCTCGTGCGGGCACCAGTCGTCTCGCTCCCGCCCCGACACCCTTTCCGCTCCTCGCTACCGCTTCTAGCGTCTCCGCCGCACGGGCGACCGACGACTTCGCATCCTCTCATCAATCACCAAAATAACACTTCTCATACACCGCTTTTTGTAACACTTTTCAATCAAAACTTTTTTATTCACGAGTCCTTAAGAATCGCGTGCAACACTCACTAGACTCCATCACTTGGTTCCACTTAAATCAGTTTCGACCTCTTCGAATAGGTAAGCTAGGCAATAAAATAGGGATAAAAGTTTTACTACCCGCCTAAACGCTGCGAGACAATGGCCCGTCGTTAAGGTAGTTGGGGAATGCAATGGAGAGGTAATAAACGTATTCCGTATAATGTTCACAATGGCGTAAGTTTGTCTTTGCTCTGGCTGAAGTAACGGCGGAGTCTTGCTCCAATTCGAGAGCAAACAGAGCTCAATACGTCGGCCAAGTTACTCTCAGCCAAAATGCACACCGCATTTGGATTCTATATCAAAACGTTAGGTTTGTGCTAGTTCAGTGCGAAACTTCCCAAGTGGTGCTGAATGACCTTCTACGAAGCTCAGTTATGAATAAGCAATGATACGCAGGAAAGAAACTTTCACGGCCGTGCAGCCGGGAGAAATAAAAGTGTTGTAATATTGAGGGAAAATCATTGCTCGAGGAAGGCAAAACCATTCTCACAATTATTTATATCCAGCTTGCAGGTGTACGGGAAATAAAATACTTAGCCTCGAGCCAACACACAGGAAAGTGAGCCAGAATGTTATTTAAGATTTAGCCAAGAGTGAACCACGCGAATTTATAGCTGCGAAAGATACTTTAAATGTTTTAGATTTTACCAAGAATTCGAAGAAGGCAAATTATTATTTTAGCTTCAGAAACACAAAAATGTTAATAAATATATTTCATTTAACAGATTAATATTCGGAACTCGGTATCAAAAATATTCTATTAAAGAAAAAATATCAAAGACATGGAATGAATAAACTCTTTTCCTTGAATACTTTTAAAATGGAAGGCCGTAAAGCTTGCATTGAATGTGCTGGAGGAACTAGAGTCAATACAATACTACAATACAGGTTCTTTGCAGCACAGCCTTTGATGTTGACTTGCACAAATTCATGTTCTCCTTGTGTGCATTTAAAATACAGTGCGACGGGAAAAGTAAATTATTCAGAGAGCAAAGAGAAAGATTGCGGGTCACGTACAAAAACGTTGCTACACCAGGTTCAACTAATAAATAAGGGTGTCACGTACGGATAGTAGAATAATAGGGTGAAAGTGTCCCTTTGGAGACGGGCTAGTCTGTGGCTAACCGCAGTTTAGGTCTTAGTGGTGAGACACCTCCGCATTCAATCCTTGTGACTTGTGTTCTTAGGTTCACGTTTACAAATTAAAATAGATTTGCGGTCCCGTCTCCAAATGAAATGAGTCTAGTAAACACCACCAATGTAGGTACATAATGTAATAAACTTGAATGAAAGCAGGGTAAATTATAACCAGAACAGTGGAAACGATTCAGAGAATTGTGATATTTGTGATATCAGTATGTGCATTAATACGTCCATTCTGCTTAACACTCATTTAAATTTTCAGATTCATTTACGACCGACCGTAATAATGACGTTTGTGAAATTTAATAAAGCTCGCACGTTGGTTTTGAGCTTAATAATGCAATGATGGGAAACATTTAATGGCAATAACTCACAATTAGTGGAGCACTACTGCAGAACGGCAGCATATTGAAAATTTAATATACGTCACCAAGGGTACAAATAACGGAAAATCGGAAGTGATTAAAATCTCAAGAACCTTAAAATCAGGCACTCAAAATTTTAAAATAAAAATTCCACCCGGAAAAGGCAATAACAGTTAATTTCCTATGCTTATGACGACGCAAATTACAATAGCCTTTCTCAAAAATTAACGAACCCCGAAATTGAATCTTAAGCACAATGAATAGCTGCACCCAGCGTTAATTTCCCGAAGGAGTGCAACCATAAAATATTCCAGTCGTGCACCGAAAAGAATTCACCGGCTGTGCACGTTTTTAATTGGAAAAGGAAAATTCGAAGCCTGACGTGACTTATTGACCCGGAGCTAAATTAGCAGGGTCTTAACGCTAAGCGCAGTTAACGCTAAGGGCCCAGTTAGGGTCTTGGGGATCTGCAATAAGCGTATGCCCCATTTTGCAGTTCGTTGAAAGGGTTCGCAGCAAACACGTTTTAATTAGAGAGGCACAAAAATGTTGAGCGGATAGGCAAGAGAATTAGAAGGCATTACAAAATCATCTCCTTGATAGGTACTCAGAAACCAAAGTCACTAAGAGCGGTTTTCCCTTAAAAATATTATTGAAACATTTGTTTAAATTGTTAACATTATAACAACACTGTTTTCATTTGCACCTGTACCTACAGTGATCGCATGCGAAAAAATACGAATCATTAATCACCATTTTTTCATTCACCACCCCCGCCCCAATTATTGGACAACATGATACGCGTTTGTTTACCGCGTTGATTGAATAAAAACGAACCGGCCGTAAATGAAAACATTATTTTAGGTACAAATTGTCATTTTGTCGCTCGCAGCGTCCTGAAAGCCTTGACCTGAATGTGGTACATTAATTTTCAGAGGCTCATTCGATAGATGCCTGTCAATTAAAAGGGAGTATGATGGGATCGAGCCTTTGTATTATTTCATACTTCTCTGGTAATTAAGTTTCTAGAGTAGTTGTTGCTTCAATTATAACTTTATTTTAGTTTAGTTAGGATATCCAATGGCTACTAGTTAACAATTCTGAAAATAGTAATACTGTTTGTATTTTTATATCAGCTGCGGTTTGAAACTAATACGACAAAACCCTCAATTGAACGATGAAACCAGGCAAAACCGAAAGCAAATTTGATCGCAACTTTTTTACTCGAACTGCACGCGCAACTAATAGCTTGCTATTACCACAATTCTCCGTAAAACAATTTTCAAGAGCCTCCATTTGGTTATATTTCCCAAAGGCAATATACACCATGTCAACGGAGAATTGTTGAGGTGAAGACGTTTTATTCCTAGTCTCTGTGGTGTTATAAAAAAAGATAACGCAGAAAACATGTACAATTGTGACGTATGAGAACAAAAACACTTAAATTATGATCACCATCAAACTTCCAGAATTTGATGATGCATATGAAATTACACTTGGAATGCGGACGTTGAATTCCAAGCGCAATCAATTAAGTTACACAATATAGAACATGGCAATCTGTCAAGTTACTCATGAATATTTACAAGTAAGTGAATCAGTGCCAGAAAGGGAAACAAATAAGGTGCATGCAGAGCGTTGACTGCAGTCCAGATATAGGTCAGTGGGTCGTCAGTCCGCTGTCATACGGCGAGATATCGCTGCGGATCCGACGGCTGCTCGCATCAGCTGTCTGTTACCCAATTCCCTGGACGTTTGCAAGGTTAGGTTACAAAAGTTTTCTCGTTACACTAAAGTACAAGGTAACGTAACGTTGGCTTCTATCTAAATGAGTTTAGCCCGTAAATATCAATGACGAACGCTCATTCTCCTGATGGCCTTTGTGGATTTTATTTTGTTATATGTTACTTTCCACAAAGCTACTGTTTGAGAACTAATAATATACTGGTTAAATGTGCCTTATCACAAGGTCGTTAGAGCTGTTTTTGGCCACACAAGACGTGATAGATATTCAGCGCTCCTCCCAAAAATTCAACAATATCACTTTATTAATTTCAGGCACGCTCGCGACAAATCTGCGACGAAAAATATAGCTCGCGGCACAGCTGAGCTCCGTAATGAAAATAAATATGAAGCCCCGCGTGTTCCTGCATCATAAAACCCTGATATATCAGACACCGCAGTAAACCCGGCTGTTTAAGTAAACAAACTCTAGTCACTAATGGAAACATGATACGACAGAGCACGAGGAAAACTTCTGACTGGGTTAAGCGCGAAACAACTACCTTCGACCCGTATTTGCTTTATATTTCAAAGGTTCAACATTTTATTCCTTTCAATGTCAGAGAGCGCGAGTTCTCTGAATATTTATGTATGGATTTTATAGCTTCTTGGCGCAACATCTTGCGGCCGCGTTCACGCTTCGGAAGGCATTACTTTCAGGATGTATAAAAAGCTCTTTGAGTTGGTCGAACCCACGCATAATTTCAGAAATAAAATGGAACGGGATAATAATGTTGGCACAAATTATTACGTGATTGTTTTCTTATGTTATATTAATTTCACTGAACGATAGGATTCTTCATATTTTGTACAATATCCGACACACTCGCATATAATATTTCATCAAACAAGTTCCTTGAATTTTCCGGGTTACATTTAGCTTTTGGGGACAACGGGAATACACAGAATCAATTACTTCGTATTCAGTTAGGTAACTTTCATGCAAAATAACAAGAACTGGAAGTAGGTAGATGTGTACAAATATGTTACCGTACCTACGAATAGCTTTAATTAACCATTTTAGGCGGGTTTCAATAATATTAATTACAAATTACATATCGAAATCGGGTCAATTATTAAGATGCAAAAAGCTTTGATCTTTTTTCAGCAGAAATGATTTAGAATTTACACAATTATTAAAACTCGTGCTTATCGATTTACTACAGGTGATCCCTAATCGGCGATAAATTCACTTGACAAATAAAAACACGTTCCATTTGTGCCTTATAAGAATCATAAAGGCGTTTACTACAGGACGCTCGGTAAAACTTTTATTTTATGGCTGTGCATAAAGTCAGCTTAGCTTATCCGGGCATGTATTGAAAGTGGATGTCACCTTGGTCCGTGGTAAATAGGTCAGGGCCATATTAGCCACGCGGAGCTCTCCCATTGTGAGGTCGAAATCTTTTCTTA